TGGGGGGGACTGGGATCAAACTGGTATGGATTGAGAGGGACTGGGGGTGATACTGGGAGCATTGGGAGGAACTGGGAGGGACTGGGTGGGACTGGGATGGACTGGGAAGGACTAGAAGAACTGGGAAGGCTGGGATGGCTCTGGAAGGGCACTGGGAAGGACTGTGAACAACTGGGAGGGCAGTGGAGGGGACTGGGAGGGACTGGGACGACACTGGGAGCACTGGGAGGGCACTGGGATGAACCGGGGGCTCACCTGGGCTGGGCTCACCTGGGCGGGGCTCACCTGGGCGGGGCTCAGCTGTCTCACCTGTCCCATCCCCCCTGTCCCAGGTGAGGCACCTGGAGGTGTCGAGCGCGTCCATGGCCGAGGATCTGTGCAGGAAGAGCGCCATCATCCAGAGCTTCGTGCGCGACAGCCGCACAGGTGAGGGGACACCTGGGGGACACCTGGGTCACCTGGGTGTCACCTGTGCCTCACCTGCATCACCTGGGGGTCACCTGGGTCACCTAGGTCACCTGGGCCTCACCTGGGCCACTTGGGGGTCACCTGGGTGTCACCTGGGTCACCTGGGGGTCACCTGGGTCACCTGGGGGTCACCTGGGTCACCTGGGTGTCACCTGTGCCCTCACCTCGGTCTCACCTGTGCCTTCACCTGGCCTCACACTCACCTGGCACCTCACCTTTGTCCTTACCTGGTGGCTCACCTGTCACCTCACCTGTCCCAGTCCCACCTGTCCGCCCATCCCTCCCACATCTATCCCAGGCCTACCTGTCTCACCTGTCCCCTCTCACCTGTCACCCATGTCCCACCTGTCCCCTCACCTGTCTCACCTGTCCCAGCCCCACCCATCTCACCTGTCCCCTCTCACCTGTCCCCTCACCTGTCCCTGTGTCCCCTCACCTGTCCCCTCACCTGTCCTCTCACCTGTCCCTGTGTCCCCTCACCTGTGTCACCCATCCCCCTCTCACCTGTGTCCCCGTGTCCCCTCTCACTTGTCCCCGTGTCCCCTCTTACCTGTGTCACCTGTGTCCCCTCTCACCTGTCCCCATGTCCCCTCTCACCTGTCCCCGTGTCCCCTCTCACCTGTCCCCATGTCCCCTCTCACCTGTCCCTGTGTCCCCTCTCACCTGTCCCCCCCGTGTCCCCCCAGAGGCCGCGGGCCCGGCGGGTCCCCCCCGGCGCGGGGCGGGGTCGGGGGCGGGGCCAGGCGAGGAGGGGCTGCGGGAGATGAACAAGAAGCTGCAGAACCTTCTGGAAGAGCAGCTGACCAAGAACCTGCACCTGGCCCAGGTGAGGGGGCGGGGCCAACGCGGGGTGGGGCTCAATGGGGGCGTGGCTTGTGCCGAGGGCGTGGCTCAATGTGACATCACTGCTCGGCTTTTATGGACATGTGGGAGGAGCTTAGGGTGGGGGTGGGGCTTTCACGTGTGGGCGTGGTCAGAACAAGGGTGTGGCCGCTCAGGGGGCGTGGCCGCGGAATGGGGCGGGGTCTCGAGCAGTGGGCGTGGCCTCCGCACCCCACTCATTCCCCCCCTTTTCCCAGGACCTGGAGTCGCTGTCCCAGGAGCTGGCGCAGCTCAGGAAGGAACAAGCGGCACCCCCGGGACCCCCCTGAGGGGCGTGGCTTCCTCTCGTGGGCGGGGCCTCGCCCCCCGCCCCTCCGTAAGCTCCGCCCCCCGGCTGGGGCGCTGCTGCGGGGGGGGGCGTTGCCCTTTTAATAACGCTGTGGACCCCACCGGCGCTGCCCCTTTAAGGCGGGAGCGTTCCCTCCGTGGCGTTGCCCCTTTAAGGCGGAGCCCCGGAGGTCGTTGCCCCTTTAAGAGCGGGGCCGTTCCTCGCCCCTTTAAGGCGGACGTGGTCCCCACTGTGGCGTTGCCCGTTTAAGGGGGGGGGGGTCCCGCATGCGTCCCCCTCCCTTCAATAAACCCGATGTGAATCGCTGCCTGTGACGTCATTTCGCCGGGCTGGGAGGGGCGGGAGGAGCGCGGTGACATCACAGAGGCGCCGCCCCGTGACGTCAGTTCCGCGCGCTGCCCCGGATGTTGTTGCCGCCGCCACGGCCGCCGGACGGGCACGGGCACGGGAGCGGCGCCGCTCCGGATCCCCCCCCAAATCCCCGCCCCCCCAAATCCCCGCCACGGCCGGACCGGGGGAGGGGCGCGGCGTGACGTCAGCACGGTGACGTAACAGCTGCCCCCCGTTTCCCCGGCTGGGGGGGGGGCGGCGGCGGCGAATCCCGGTCCGAGACCTTCCCCACCCCCCAACATGGCGGCGGCGACGGCGGGGGGCGGGGCCTCGCCGGGGAGCGGGGCCTCGCTGGAGGAGGAGTGCGAGGTTGTGCGCGTGCGCGTCAAGGTAAGGGGCGGGGCCTCGTGGTGGGCGGGGCCTCGTGGTGGGCGGGGCCTTGTGGTGGGCGGGGCCTCGTGGTGGGCGGGGCCATCGCGGTTAAATGTGGGAGGTGTTAAGGGGTGGCTCCGCGCGTGTCATGTGACCACCGATAGCCAATCAGCTTCGGGGGTTTGGTGTGGCGAAGGCGGGAAGTTTCCCGCCTTTTGGGTCACGTGACGTGCGGCAGCCAATCAGCGCTGGAAGGTGTGCGCGCTGTTGCCATGGGGATGGGAGAGCGCCGCCATCTTGGTTTGCCGTGAGGGGCCGGGGGTGTTTGAGATCCCCGTGACCTCCTGGGGACCCACCGGGATCAACTGGGACCAAACGGGACCCTCTGGGACCAAACGGGACCAACTGGGGACCCTCCGGGACCAACTGGGACCAACTGGGACCAACTGGGACCCCATTGGGACCCTGTGGAATCCTTCTGGATCTCCTAATGGGGAATCCTGGGATCCACTGGGGACCAACCGGGACCCTCTGGGGACCCTCCGGGACCAACCAGGACCCCGTAGGACTCCCTGAAACCCTTTCGGATCTCCTAACGGGGAATCCTGGGACCCTCTGGGGACCGTCCGGGACCAACCAGGACCCCCTGGGACCCTCTGGGACCAAATGGGACCAACTGGGACCAACCAGGACCCTCCGGGACCAACTGGGACCCCATTGGGACCCTCTGGGACCCTTCTGGATCTCCTAACGGGGAACCCCGGGATCCACTGGGACCAAATGGAACGAAACGGGATCCTCCGGGGACCAACCGGGACCCTCTGGGGACCCTCTGGAACCAAACGGGACCCCATTGGGACCCTCCGGAACCCTTTTGGATCTCCTAATGGGGAATCTGGGGACCAACTGGGACCAACTGGGGACCCTCTGGGACCAACCAGGACCAACTGGGCACCATTGGGACCCTCTGGAACCCTTCTGGATCCCCTAATGGGGAACCCTGGGATCCTCTGGGACCAAATGGGATGAAACAGGATCCTCTGGGGACCAACCAGGACCCTCTGGGGACCCTCTGGAACCAAACGGGAACCAACTGGGGACCCTCCAGGACCAACTGGGACCCCATTGGGACCCTCTGGAACCCTTTTGGATCTCCTAATGGGGAACCCTGGGACCCTCTGGGACCAACTGGGGACTCTCCGGGACCAACTGGGGACCCACTGGGACCAAATGGGACCCCGTAGGACCATGTGGAACCCTTCTGGATCTCCTAACGGGGAACCCTGGGATCCACTGGGACCAAATGGGACGAAACGGGATCCTCTGGGGACCAAATGGGACCCTCTGGGACCAACCAGGACCCCATTGGGACCCTCTGGAACCCTTTTGGATCTCCTAATGGGGAACCCCAGGATCCTCTGGGACCAACCGGGCCCCCCTGGGTACCCTCTGGGACCAACCAGGACCAACCGGGGACCCTCTGGGACCAAATGGGACCAACTGGGACCCCCTGGGGATCCTCTGGGACCAACCAGGACCAACTGGGCACCAACTGGGACTAACTGGGACCCCATTGGGACCCTCTGGATCTCTTCTGGATCTCCTAATGGGGAACCCCGGGATCCACTGGGGACTCTCCGGGACCAACTGGGACCAAACAGGGACCCTCTGGGACCAAATGGGACCCCATTGGGACCCTCCGGAACCCTTCTGGATCTCCTAATGGGGAATCCTGGGACCCTTTATCACTCCTCCCACAGAAGAGCGAGGGGCAGCAGCCGCCCGAGTTCCGTTCCTTCGCCGTGGACCCCCAGATCACCTCTCTGGACGTTCTGCAGCACATCCTGGCCCGGGCCTTCGACCTGCAGGGGTGAGCGGGACCCCCCCCCTCCATTTTGGGCACACCTGAGCACCCCAAAACTCCTCAGGTGAGCTCACCTGGGCGGGTTCCTCCCCAAAGGAAGAAAAGCTTCGCCCTGAGCTTCGCGGCGCGGGACGGGCAGGGCCAGGACACCTTCGTGCCTCTGCTGAGCGATGGCGACCTGGCCAACGCCTTCACCTGCGCCAGGCCCACCCTGAGGCTGCGGCTGGATGTCAGGAACCCACCTGAGAGTGAGTGATGTACCTGGGGACACCTGGGGGACACCTGGGGGGGTGGGAATACACCTGGGACACACATGGGGGACACCTGGGCAGGGGGACACACCTGGGATACACCTGGGACACACCTGGGGGACACCTGGGGCAGGGGGACACACCTGGGATATACCTGGGGCACACCTGGGGTACACCTGGGATACACCTGGGATATATCTGGGACATACCTGGGCAGGGGGAACAGACCTGGGACACACCTGGGGTACACTTGGGCAAGGGAGATACACCTGGGATACACCTGAGATACACCTGGGACACACCTGGGCAGAGGGGACACACCTGGGACACACCTGGGTGGGTGGAGATACACCTGGGGGACACCTGGGATACACCTGGGGGATGCTTGGGCAGGGGGACACACCTGGGTGGGTGGAGATACACCTGGGATGCACCTGGGCAAGGGAGCTACACCTGGGACACACCTGGGGGACACCTGGGGGGTGGGGATACACCTGGGACACACCTGGGATACACTGGGATATACCTGGGGGACACCTGGGATACACTTGGGACACACCTGGGTACACCTGGGGTATACCTGGGATACACCTGAGGGGGTGGAGATACACTTGGGACACACCTGGGGGACACCTGGGGGGTGGGGATACACCTGGGACACACCTGGGATACACTGGGATATACCTGGGGGACACCTGGGATACACCTGGGACACACCTGGGTACACCTGGGGTATACCTGGGATACACCTGAGGGGGTGGAGATACACTTGGGACACACCTGGGGTACACCTGGGCAAGGGAGATACACCTGGGATATACCTGGGCAAGGGAGGTACACCTGGGGGACACTTGGGCAGGGGGACACACCTGGGTGGGTGGAGATACACCTGGGATATACCTGGGACACACCTGGGACACACCTAGGATATACCTGGGTAGGTGGAGATGCACCTGGGATACACCTGGGCAAGGGAGATACACCTGGGATATACCTGGGATACACCTGGGACACACCTGGGATATACCTGGGATATACCTGGGCAGGAGGAACACACCTGGGACACACCTGGGATACACCTGGGCAGGGGAGATACACCTGGGATATACCTGTGTGGGTGGAGACACACCTGGGATGTACCTGGGATACACCTGGGCAAGGGAGACACACCTGGGACACACCTGAGATACATCTGTGTGGGTGGAGACACATCTTGACTTCACCCAGTCAAACACGTCTCAGGTGTATCCCAGATGTATGAGGGTGGTCCCAGGTGTATGACGGGGGTCCCAGGTACCTGTCCCAGGTGTGTGGGTGGGTCCCATGTCCCCATGGTCTCACCTGTGCGGATGTCCCAGGTGTATGAGGGGGGTCCCAGGTACCTGTCCAGGTGTATGAGGGGGGTCCCAGGTGTGCGGGTGGGTCCCATGTCCCCGTGGTCTCACCTGTGCGGATGTCCCAGGTGTATGAGGGTGGTCCCAGGTACCTGTCCCAGGTGTGTGGGTGCGTCCCAGGTGTATGGATGGGTCCCAGGTGTGTGGGTGGGGTTCCAGGTACCTGTCCCAGGTGTATCAGGGTGGTCCCAGGTGTGTGGGTGGGTCCCAGCTCCCCCTGGTCTCACCTGTGCGGATGTTTCAGGTGTGTGGGTGGGTCCCAGGTGTGTGGGTGTGTCCCATGTACCTGTCCCAGGTGTGCGGGTGGGTCCCATGTACCTGTCCCAGGTGTGCGGGTGGGTCCCATGTACCTGTCCCAGGTGTGTGGGTGTCTCAGGTACCTGTCCATGTCCCCGTGGTCTCACCTGTGCGGATGTCCCAGGTGTATGGGTGTGTCCCAGGTACCTGTCCCAGGTGTGTGGGTGTGTCCCAGGTGTGTGGGTGTGTCCCAGGTACCTGTCCCAGGTGTGTGGGTGGCTCCCATGTCCCCCTGGTCTCACCTGTGCTGTCCCCAGGCCCGCTGCTGGAGGATTGGGACATCATCAGCCCCCGGGAGGTGGCGGCGGCCGAGCCGGTCCCCGAGCGCCGCTCGCTGCTGGCGGCGGCTCTGCCCTTCAC